CAAGCTATTTGTATCAATCTTCATTATGTCTACTTCAAGCCCTTGGTATTTTTAAGTACCGAGGATGTCGCGCTGGAAAGGCTGATAAAGCTAGGAAACATGCTGTTCATAATATTCTTCCGATTTCTTCTTCACGCCGGGATTGTAGATCATTAAATATTCAACTTGTCACCTCTAATGGTGTCAATCCGTCCGTTTTGAAGCCTCTGAGATCATTGCTGTCATCGAGTCTTTCTTCAAATAATCTTCGCTTTGCAATCTGTAATGCTCGCTCTATCAGGAACAAAGTGGAAACAATCATTGACCATGCTGTTGGCAATGATATCGGTATCTGTATTTTTACTGAAACTTGGTTAAACGATTTAGATTCTGTCTGCATTGCTGATCTTTCTCGTCATGGCTATTTATTCAAGAGTTTTCCACGGCAATCAAATCGATCTGGCGGTGGTACAGGCATTTTATTCCGCGACTCTTTTGATGCCACACTTCTGGACGGGAAGGAACATAATTCTTTTGAATTTTCCGAATGGATTTTGAAGACAACAAATCGCTCTATCCGTATTGTTGCTGTTTACCGCCCTCCCAACTCTTCTGCGTCGGTATTTCTTGATGAGTTTTCGTCGTATCTTGAAAACATTGTCATGTGTCCTGAACCTCTTATTATCGCTGGGGATTTCAACTTTCACATGGATTTGGTGCATAGCAATTGTGCTATAAGATTTAAAGAGTTGCTGGAAACCTTCAGCCTCTCACAACACGTAACGATGTCCACGCATATTTCTGGGCATATTTTGGACCTTATCATCACTCGATCCACCAGTGACTTAATTTTGGGTCCCATTAACGTCACCTTACCCATCTCGGATCATTTTTTTGTTGAGTGTTTTATTCGCTTCCCAAGTTCATCAATCTCTACCAAGTCTGTGTCATATCGCAGGTTAAAGAACATCGACATTGATGCATTTAAATCGGACATCACCTCGTCTGTACTTTGCAGTGACACACACTGGAGCAACCTTGGCGATTTATCCAAGCAGTACTCCTCGACTTTAACAGAAATCCTGGATAAACATGCTCCCATAAAGACAAAAACTCTTGTTACTCGTGCAAAGATCCCTTGGTTTAACGCTGATGTTCTCCAGTTTAAACGTATTCGTCGCAAGGCTGAGCGGAAAGCTCTTAAAAGTGGTCTTTCTTCAGATTGGCTTGCTTATCGTAAAATCTGTAATAGATATTCTGCTCTTCTCAAGTCTACTCGAGCTTCTTATTACTCAGATTTAATTGGTCAGTGCGCTGGTGACTCCGGGAAGTTGTTCAAATTGGTTTCATTCCTTTGTAAGGGTCCTAATGTTAATGATCTACCACCTCATGATGACCCAGTTCTACTTGCGAATAAATTTGGGGAATTCTTTGTTAAAAAAATTGAACTCATCAAAGATTCCATCAGTGATATTGAAGTTAATCCTCCTTATTCTGATACTGCTGCTCCAGCTGTAGAACTTGACAGTTTTTCGCCGTTATCAGTGGAAGATGTTTGCAATATAATCAGTACATCGTCTAATGCCTCATGCTCCCTGGATCCAATCCCTACATGGCTTGTGAAGTCTTGTCTTGACGTCCTTGCGCCCTCCATTACTCGCATGGTAAATTTGTCTATTCGCCACGCCTATGTTCCCGATGATTGGAAAACTGCAATTGTGAAACCTCTATTAAAGAAACCCGGTCTAGAGTTAACTTATAAAAACTTCCGTCCGGTAAGCAATCTAACATTCATCTCCAAGATCGTCGAAAAGGCGGTTCTTTCTCAATTGTTTAAGCACTGTGAATACAATGCTCCTCTGCCGAAGTTACAATCAGGGTTTAGAAGATTTCACTCTACCGAAACTGCCTTGCTTAAGGTTCAAAGTGATATTCTTATGTCAATGGACCATCAGGAAATTACGCTTCTTGTGCTACTGGATCTAAGCGCTGCTTTTGATACAATCGATCATCAGATTCTCCTTAATGTTCTTGAAAGCGATTTTGGAATCATTGGCTCTGCCCATAAATGGTTTGCGTCTTATCTGTCT